CTGCTTAAGAGTGTTGTAGATGCAAGAAAACACTTCTGTGTGGCTAAAAATTCCAGCTGGCCCTGCCTGCATAATTATTAATTTATAATTGTTGAATATCAATTTTTTTTTTAATAAGTTAATAAATATTAAATTAAATAGAGAGAGTGAAAGAGACCTGTGTGACAAAAATACCAGCCTCATTAAGCCTGGGCTTCACAACAGATTCATAAAAGGATTTGGTATAAAGTTTGTAGCATGGGCCTCCTTCAATTGGATCTGCCAAGTCTCCTATTATCACATCATAAACCTCCTCTCTCCTTTCAAGCTCAGCCCTATTCATATAATTAACCAAAATAATAATAATAATAATAATAATAATAATAATAATAATAATAATGAGAAATAGAAGAATTAAAATAAAAAAAGGGCTAAATTTAAATTAAATGGTTTGCTTGATTTCAAATTGAGAGGGGTGAAATTTGATGGCAAAATTGTCCTTAATATCATGAACTTTTTCGAAATTGCAATTTAATCACGAATTTTTTTAACTTTTTTAAAATTATATCACAATCTTTAGTTTGTTGCAAATTGATGCACCGATTTGCATATCCCGTGCAAACTATATCACAATCTTCATTTTGTTGTTCGACCATGTCAGCTTTTCTATGACTGTTTTCAGACTGTTTGCAACAACTAATGATTGCGATATAATTTGCAAAAGTGAAAAGGTCGTGATTAAATTGCAGTTTCGATAAATGTCGGGGCAAATTTGCCAAAATTGAATTAAATTTTTTGATTTTTGGATCTACCTTGCATCATTAATGACAAGCTCCAATCTTGGATCATAAAAGGCATCTTTATTGGCCACCAAGTGTGACTTGCAAAAATCCACCACTTCCTGCACCAAGACATCATGTATATTAACTAATAAGTGTTGCACATTATTACAATAAGCATACAATAAGCATAAAACCATGAAGTTTTATTTTTTAATATCAAATATACTAATTAACTTTTACATTTTATGAATGATTTATTTTTTAATTTTATTTTTTCGTCATTGGTTTTTAAATTGAATTAATTTTTGGTTTATGACTATATATAAGGTTTTATTTTAAATGTCTTATATTTGAAGAAGAAAAAAAAATTGAAAAAAAAGTGTAGCATACATGTGAAATAGCCCAAATAATATAATTAATGGAGATGCTACGGTCCGTTACGGAACAATTCTGTCGGAGTTTGTAACCGTTAGATCAACTATCATTTACGGTTACATGATGATCTAACGGTTACAAATCCTGACGGAATGGTTCCGTAACGGGACCGTAGCATTTTCCATTAATTATATAAGGAAATTGGAAATGAAATTGACCTCATCAATGTCACACATTATAAGTTTTTCCACAGTCCAATGTCTGAGTATTTCTCTAGCAGTGGAACCTTCACCTCCCCCCATGATGAAAATGCTCTTTGGACTGAATAGAATGCAATACCATAGTAAAAATAAAATTAATCATAATTTTTTGAAAAAAAATTTGTCAAAATATAGAATCACATTGACATATTAATTCAAAGTTAAAAAAGTACTTTGGATGATTTAAAAGTGGTGGATGCACAAGTGACTCATGGTATATGAACTCATCTATCTCTGCACTTTGAAGCTTCCCATCAATTATTAGAGCCTGAAATTCACATCAATT